GTCTATTACATCATTATGAGTCTTTGGTGGGCATTTGCCCTCTTGACGATGATTACCTTTAAAAATAAAGGTGGTGTCATAGTTGTTACACTTTGATATAGTGAATCATAGCGCTGAGGTCATCAAACACATTAACACAGAGCCATCACTCAGCTCCTGGATCCGCCCTGATCCACATGGTCACCTGCCCCATTACTGCAGGGGTCAGATCTCATCATTAGTCAGGCACTCTGGCACATTCATTCACTGATTTACTGCCTTAACATCAGAGAATTAACAGAAGAATCCTTTACTTAAAGAATGAGACATTTTTTTCTTGATTGAAGAGGAGGCAGAGATGCTTCTTGCTGTTGTTCCTTCCACCAGGGAGATTGTGTTTTCTTTGTTGGTTTGTAAACCAGATTACACAAAAACTATGACGGACTTTCACGAAACATGGTGGAAGGATGAGAAGTGGTTACGGGAAGAATCCATAAATTTTTGTGGGAATCAGGGGGTGGATCCAGGAATTTTTTTTCATTTTCCTAAACATAATTGTTAATTTCTCAGAGATTTTAAAATTTGTACCATTTTCTCAATCAAAAATCTTAAATGAAAAAGCAGACACATTAAGGGAACTGATATTCATGTGTAAAATGTTGTCTAGCTTGATTGAATTTAAGGGACTGCTGGGTAGGGCTGGTCAATTAACCGAAAATGTATTGAACCGTCATTTATAAACTTTAACCGAATTAATATTTCAGTTAATATGTTAATATGAATTAATATGCAGCGGCAGCCCAGGTACCTTGCATTGTGCCATCTGCTGGATGTGCTCCCTCCTCACTCCGCCGCTGATCTGCACCCACTTTAAATGTTAACATTATCACTAATCAGAAGTTATTAGGACCTGAACAGTACTGAAGTTTACTTTGTGTTTGTTTGATTTGCTCAAGAGTTTCTGAGACACGTATTTAAAGACACAAAGTTGGAAATAATCGAGATATTGATTTGAAGTCATATGGCCAAGCCCTACAGCTGGGACTTGGCAGAGGTATGTGCCGTACTAAGTGCTGTTCTAGATGCTGGTTTGTTAAAACAGCATCTGTGCACCATAGGATTTTCATGTGGAACTCCTGTGGCCACTAAAAGCAACCTGGAGGCCAATGCAAATGATAAAGTCTCAGCCAGGTCGAGGATGAGCATTTAATGTGTCTCTGTGATTAAAGGGAAGTGGCTGATAAGTAACCAGATCATCAGCATGTGCACGAGATAAAAAAAATCGAAGCCAGGTGTCATTTATAATTACGACAGGCCAACAACAAGCCTCTGGGCAGCGAGGGAAATCGCTCTGACGGGATATCGTTCTCCACAGTGGACATGAAGAGAAAGTGAGCATCTGTTCACATACTATTTCTGGATGCATGTATTTACAGTAGCAGGGTGGAGAAAGTAGGCCATCACAATGATAACAATCTGTACATAGTTAATGATGGTGTAGGTGGGGAAATCATGCAGCCGCTTATTCGCAGGTGAAAGAAAATGTTTGTGGTTTTTCTTCTCGTCTCATGACCTTTTTGTTTTTGACAATTAAATTGATCAGCACAGAAGTCACAGTAGGAGACCCTCTTAGCAGAGAAGGACACACAAACATCAGTGGTGCACTTAACAAAAAGGATGTCCCTGAAAATAGACCCGCACAAAAAGTAAACACAAACACTGACCTTCAGCACTGCTCTCAGACAACACGGCATTGCAGTTCAGAACCATTAAGGATCATGTGACAAATGATCTGACAGAGGCCAGGCATTTAGATTTTAGATCATTTAGCTGCCATTTCTTCTGCCATTACAACTTCTGCAATTTAGATCACATCTAAAACCAGCCGTCATTATTTATGTTGCCATCAAAACAAAAATAAATGTGAGCATGAAAAAAGGGAAGAGAGACTCTGATTCAGATTCACTTCTACAAAACCATAACATCACAAAGTGCCACAAATTTCAAGAACAAAATAAAATGTTCAAAACAAAATTAAAAAGCAGTTTAAAGATCGACTGACTGAGGAATGGCTCAATGGCTGATAAAGTTAGACTTGGCTGTTTCTATGTCTTCATGGTGAGAAATAGTAGATATGAAGTTAGTAAACAGTTACTTTAAGCCACAAGCAATGTAGATATATTGTGAAGTTAAGTTTTACCTTTAAATGTTTGCAGAATCTTTTTGGCAATGGTAACAAGGAACAGTTTAGTTTTTATCCCCCCAATAAATTCAGTGAGGTCTTGTTTTAAAGCTTTCAGTCATATCACACTATCTACATTTTAAGGTTAATAATACAGTGAAAGTTTAACTAGTTAATTATTAAAACAATAACTGCATGCAGCTTTGTCACTTCAGAATCTGCTGCAAGAAGTTTCAATTATGTTTTTCCTCATAAATTCATTTCAAACTTCCTTGAAGTCTGGTAAAGAAATTCATCTTATCTATCAGATGCGTCAGATTTTATATATGTTCTCTTAAGCAGCTTGTGAAGAAATCGATAAATAATTAAATGTTTTAACTGCTCACCTCAGGGTTCAAAATATGAAATGAGCAAACAAGACTTAAATAAAACCTTATTTTTTAACTTTATAACTGACTGATGCTTAAAGGGACAGCAATAATATTTAAATTTCTTTTTCCATTTGTTTGGCTCCAAAAATGTAAAAAAGACATATTGGCTACATTAGGTATCACAGGTATTTAAGTGTTGGAACAAAAAGATGATGCATATATATTTTTTTTTTTCAAATTTATTTTACTTGAAGAAGCTTAAGGGAAGAATGAAGGTGTTTAATAAATGAGCTCTACATAAAAAGAAAAGATGACACAAATGTACAGCCAGCTCTCAGGACAGGTTTATGGTGGAGTGCGACCAACTTATTGGCTGATATGAGCCTCAGATCTGTATCTGTGTTTGTTTGCCAATATGAAAAGGTTTATTTTACAATGCAGAAAATATTTGTTGCATTTATGATTACATTTTCATTAAAAAAGGGTCAAAGTCAAAAGGGTTTGATTGTCAGATATTTTGGTATCAAAAAGGTTTTACTCCCTAATATTGTATCAAGAGCGACCCCTAAAAATCCCTATCAGCCGGGCTCTAGTTAATCATGGAGATATACTGTATTTCATGGCCTTGTAGAACTAGAACATATAGTTCCTACAACGTTTAAGACAAAATAAACACCATGTGCTGCTGGGAAAGTGATGAGTGTATATTTTGGAAATGATGATGATGATGATGATAATGATGGCAACTGCCAGCACAGTTTCAGTTTCTTATAGCAAACATCTAGAGTTCAGCGCAGGGTGTCAGGCTCACCGCTGGTCGCTGCCACTACAGGACCATCACATAAAAGCTATGTGTCACTGCAGATCACATATTACATCTCCTTCTCCACATGAAGCCCCTCTCCACAGGTCATGTGCTGTTCCACCTCTACTTCTTCCACTGTTTACCCAGCGTTTCAACATCCAGGTTGTTTCAGAAGGTTATTTTCTTGTAATGGCCCAAAGCAAGGAAGTGGGACAACTACAGAGTGATGACATCTGACTTTGCAAACAATCCTACAGGACAAATGTGGCAAGTATAGTATGAGGAAGACTGTAGCAAATAAACCATGTAGAAGGTATGGCTATGGTGAGGTAACTGAAATACTTGTATTATGTTAGAAAGGAACGATTAGAGGGAGGCTGTAGACTAAAGTCATGCTAACAAGTGCAATATGTTAGCAATATATTTGTATATTAAGGTGGTCGTCCCATTTTCCATCCGACATTAAAAAATAAAGCCTAAATATCATGGATACCAATGCCACCATTTTGCCCCAACTTCATTTAGAGCTGCACAGCAGTGATCAAGGGATGGAGCCTCAGTATCAAGGTCCCACTGATACACTCGCTCAACCAATCGCGAGTCAGACTCAGTTGTTAATCATGATGTTTCACCCTGTTTATTATATCAAATTAGTCATTAAAACCAAATTTAGAAAAATGATTACTTGGACATATGTCAGTGTGATAAGAGCGACCTAAAATAGAAACCATCTTTGAGGAAGACTATTAGTTATTTGTCTTCCTCTGCTAACATGGAGGAGGCAAAGTTTATGCAGCCAGCCACCAGGGGGCTATAAAGATGCTTTGGCTTCCCTTTTGGGGAGCTGTCATTTTGTGAATCTATATATAGAGTCCTAGCATTTTAGTATGTTAACTCACAAATATCAGGCTCATTGTGGTGCAGAGGAAATGTCGGGGAAACTACAGCTTTTGGATTCTCTTTCTGTTTCAGTTAGTTTCCACCCTTCGAACAGTTGTTGAGATAGCTCAGTCTACAACAACCATCTGTTAAACAGATCTGACATTTCCATCCCTTGAAAAAAAAAAAAAAGCATTAGAAAGTACTTCGACAGGATGAAGACTCTTGTCTGTATAAAGTCAAATATTCACTAACTGACCCAGAACAGAAACAAATACTGTTCTGTGCCTTACAACACCTCTAGAGAAGACAGCACCTTACTCATTCCTTTATCATCTTTTTTGCTTTGCTCTGGAAGAACCTTCTCGCCTCTCCTCTATTCTCTAAGTTCCTTTATATACAGGTGAAATATCATTTTCAAAGCTTCCATTAAGCCTCTTCATCCAAAAAAACACTGCAGATACTGCTAAAGTTTCCCACAAAGCCAGAGGGATTATCTTCATCTATATAAAGGTTTAATTTATATAGAGTCAGGTTTGGGCTTTATGGTGATGCTCGGTTGTGGAGGGTCTGAACCAGATTCAGAATGACAGAAGTGGAGGAGGGGGCTTTGAGGAACATCGATCAAAAAAAGAAAATATCTCCGACATGCTCAAATAGACAGTACACATGTGAGGGAGAGACAGTTTATGTAAATTCTGTAGAAAAACTAATTAATTACATATACAGTAAATCTTAGGATATCAAGTTGATATAGGTCTGATAAAAAGATAAGATAAGATAAAAGACAGATCTGTACATCAGCATTTACTGAAAATAGTGGGCTGTGTATCTGTCGACTATAAGTTAAAAAAGTGATGATTGGTTGAATTATGTAAGTGTTCATTGTGCGTCTCCTTTCCTTCCTGCCTTCTTGCTCCAGCAGTCACATATTGTGAGCTTTCCTATGACCCCTGACCTCAACAACAAAATGTTAAAGTCAGTACGTTTAGCATATCCACAGGCAGTTGGTCGAGCAGGAAGTCAGACGGGTTGTCAGCTCCCATCAGCTGCTGTTCATCTGTGATTCTGCGACGGGATGTGGATCCAGGGGGGGTTAAGCAGAGAGGGAGATGGGGGAAGACAAGCCGGATGTTGGGTAAGTACTGGGGTTGGCCCTCTGTCAGCCCAACTCATCCAAAGCCCTGGCTGGTCTTCCCATCGGCCCTGAAGCCGGCACAGCACGTCAGGCTGGCGGTGACGTCAAGGGGACAAGAAGTCACAGGCAAACAGGTTAGTGAAGGCCAAGATTTAACAGAGCAGCTCCGTCACCTCCCCGCTGGACCCTGCTGACTTTAACAAATCACACAAAGTCGCTCATACGCAGCCTGAATCTCCACTGCTGTCATCATAACACCTTTTGAGGCTACAGTAAAGTGTGTGTGTGTGTGTGTGTGTGTGTGTGTGTGTGTGTGTAGTGTAGTGTAATGTACATGGATATAACTCCAGGCAATGTGATTAAAGCCTTTACTCCCTCTTCTCTGTTTGACGAGGTTTCACTCTGACATCTGAGGTCCCGTGAGTCACAACAGAATCTGCTGCTGGACTGAAGTCTAAATGTAAGATTTGACTCAACAAATACACGGCATATATATATGGTCTAGCAGTTTCTTGCATACACACACACACACACACACACACACACACACACACACACACACAGCCTGTGACTCTGTACAAACCTGCTGTGGAGCCTGTGTAACCACAGCCTCTTCAACTTGGTCCAGAGAAACTGAGACCATTCTACATCCCAATGTTTTTCTTGTAATCTTCAAAATGATAACAAAATTGTGTCATGAAAAATAAAGAAAAGATTCAGTTCTATTTCTAGATCAACAATTTGGGACATCAACAAATTTCCTGTGCACAAATGGTCTGATTGTCTTGAGTTGTATCCTGCCCACTGAAGCATGCGTTCTTGGAAACGGGTCATTGACAGATTCTCTCTCGGCTTGAAAAAAGAAACCCCAGCCAAACAGACCTTCGTGGGAGGGACAGTGTTTGCCTGTGCTAAAACCATGCTAAAAAATGCTGACTTACAGAAATGCCACAAATAAGTCCACACGCATATGAGAGACGCAGCTCCACAGGTTCTAGAAACTCAGCTGTCTGAACTGTTCAATCAGCATATCACTCTGATCCACATGAAACACAGACCTTTATATTATTCAGCCGGCTATTTATAAATATCTATTAAAACAAACTGATGGACCAATAAAATCTTACATTTAATCTTGTAGGAGCAGTAAATTAAAAGAAGTCCACTCTCATATCTGACTGTTACAACCTGAGACCAATCTGTGCCTGAATGTGAAAAAAGTGAATATTTATGTTACCATGCCTTCAGTGCAATATACAATACACAGACTCACACTCATACACACGGACCCACAAAGCCTATGGGATCATCTCTTAGCTCATAGTCCTGGAAAACAGCAAACTCCTATAAGAAGCTCACGGAAAAGCAAGAGGAGAGCTTAATGTCATCAGAGCAGCACTCGTCAGCAAAGTTCAGCTGCAGCGGGTTACATTTAAAGTTCAACCTCCTCCTCTGAGCCACAACATATTTGCTCTTTGTTCTATGTGAGATGCGTGAGGCCCTGAAAAACCCCAGCAAAAATGGGAACACGACTTTTGTATGCGCCATTCAAAGAATATGGAAATTTTATTTGATATTATCCGTAACATACTTGCCCATACCTGAATGATTATCACCAGGTTTAGCTTTAAAAAAAGGTCAATGGACTTTCTAGTCTCAATGAGTCTAAGAGTCCCATTTACATCTATTCAGAACTTTTAAATACAGTGTGTTTTTACTACAACACATCATTCACACCAGATAGTCCGTAACTGTGCCCGCCTGCTCTCTGATGCGGGGCAGGTGCAGTGGGCAGCTGTGGCTCAGGAGGTAGAGCAGGTTGCACACTAACAGGGGCAAGGTCAATTTGGGGTCCAGCGTCTTGTCCAAGGGCACTTCAGGGCAGGGGATCAACCAATCAACCTTCTAGTTAGTGGACGACCCGCTCTACCTCCAGAGCCGCAGCCGTCCATTGTAAAGAACCTGCCGAGCATCAGAAAGCAGACATTTAAAGTAAGAGATGACCTGGAGAACATCGTGGGGCATCAGCAGCTACAGAGACAAATAGCCTCACAAGCTGGTGGAGGACAAAACAAATGGATTTGAATTCATCAGTTTGCCAAAAATGTTGTTCCTTGTCTTCTGTCTTCTATCAACAAAGACGGTAAAGGTTATCAGGAGACACATGGACATCCACAAATATTTGCATAAACTACATACCACGTCACACAAAACAACTCAGTAGAGCATAAACCTCCACCAACGTCCAAAAGTCCCCTCATAAAACCACATTTGAATTCACTAGATGTGGATTTTTATGTGGATCTGTACCGAATTACACAAGATTTGTGAATTATTCTCTGAGAAATCACTATGACTCTGATTTTATAATCAGTTTTGGGCCACTTTCATCTGTTGTTCTAATTCAGATACAGATCAGATTTTTTTTAATGTGATCGCAGTCTGAACAGCCATGTGTCCCATATCGGAATTCAATGCATCTTTTAAGTCACTCTACATTAACATTCCTCTAAATTTTGCGCAGGCAGAGCAGTGGCCAGGAGTCGCCCAGCTGAAACAAACATGGAAGACAGCTGTGACAGAGGTAGTCAGTTGAGGGACAGTGAGGTTTAAGACATCTGTACAAGCAAAACTTGAGGGGTTGTATCGTAACCGGTCTGTGAACACTCACATCTGTGGCCTCCATGTTTATTACTGACTTCTTCTCCTTGTTTACTCCTTCGAAATCTGATCCTGGTTACATTTTAAAAGATAATGTGAACAGCTACATCAGAAAAATCGGATCTAGAAAAAAATCTGAATTGAGCACTGAGGTTGAAAAACATCTGACAGTGACAAAGAAAGTGAAACATTTCTGTATCCTCCCTCTGTTCCATATCCACACCAAAATTGAATGGTTCTTCTCTGACCCAAACCGCATCCTTCTTCCAAATTTTGAGGTAATCCACCCCAGTGTTTTTTCAGGTGAAAAGGTAAAACATACCCGTTTATACAGCAATCTTATTCTCAGTTCATCTTTACTTCTTGTCTTCCTCCGCTGACGATATGAAGCAATTTTAAACTTACATTCACTGCTCCTCAAGTAACTGTAATTGTCTAACATATTTACTTCTTGTGCATGCCAGAAATATGCACTGTGTCTTCCTCGGATATGGTACCAGGGAAAAGTTTCTTCATTGGCCACTGGTAATCAGCACCCCACTGGTTACGTCATAGGCTTTATACACAGTCTATGGTCATAGGTGATAAACAATATTTTATTTTCAGCACACGTTGCCCCCAAGTGGCCAAAAAAATCAATAGATGCTAGATTCACACATATACTGTGAATCAGCCTGTAGTCGTAGAAATTAGTTTTTAATGATTGGTCTATCAGACGGCCATTGCTATGATAATAGTTGAATTCAAACATAGACACATTGAAAAAGTATTTCACGTGAAAGATGCCCTTTATACTCAGTATAAGCGTAGTGTTACATGAAGTGTTTCCATAAATGCAGTCATTAATCTCTTGACTGCTCTGGTCAGAGGAGAGCGGATGCTTCCATTGCCACGTGGGTAGAAACTCATTCTCTAGTGGATGTGGTCTCAATAATCTGCTCTCGCCTCCCCGCTGGTCTAATTATTGTAGCCCACAGGACAATTGAGAGGTAGCGGTGGAAAAATTTACACTCAGCAGGGGAGTTCAAACAGGATAAAGCCCTGACAGAGAATCACCTAAATATCCGTCTGGTGAAGAGCCTGTTTTCTGTGAATGTGTTTATTCTGGCTGCCGAGAAAACTTTCGGATCACTCATCACCTATAAAGTACAGAGGGGATGACGAGAGCTTTCTTTGACAACATGGCGTGTCAAACATCTGACTCCTGATACCTTCCAAAGTAGCATCATCAAGGGCTCATATGTAAAATCCTCAGCAGAGAGTAAAACTCCAAGTGAAACGCCCATTGAACCACATTCAACCTGTGCCACCAGGCCACATGAAAGAGACTTTAATATTGACTTCAAGATTCAGACACTCAGCCCTCAGTACGGTCGCAGCTCATCCAGCATTAGCATAAACATCACCGCTGGCGTTTCATCTTAAGATTTCAACAAGATCAGTACTGCTTTAAGTAAGATGTATAATGAGGTGTTCACAAAATTAAGTAAAAACATGTTTTTAAAAACCTGCAGGGATCAGATGCCCTTAATATAACTGTTGTGCATGGGCTATTCAACAATCTTATTCAAAGAATAGTACAACAGTTCAGGAAAGAGCTCTGATGACTAGACTTAGATAAGAAGATTGACACCACTCTCCAATAAAGTTGGAAGATACAGCCAGCAGCTAAATAGCTTAGCTAAGCATAAGGACTGAAAACAGGGGGAAACAACTAGTCTAGCTGAGTCTAAAAGTAACAACAGCGTCTCTAAGGCTCATTAACACATCATATCTCGTCTCTGTGAGCTGTGCAAAAAAACAAACCTTAAAAACAACAATTGTATGTTCTATAAGACAATATGAACAAAATGAAAAGCATTAGATGGTGTGGTTTACCTAGCACTTGTGCTGATTGGTTACTCCAAATAAGCTTAAGTTCCAATAAGATGTAAAAATTACTCAAAAAATACAATTTTATATATGCATATATGCATTTTAGATATGCATTGTGTCATTTTCTCACTTCAGAACACTGTAAGACTGTTGGTTTGTTTTTTAGACCATATTTTTGTTGATCCCAACAAGCACTGCTATTGTGCTCAAACCCGCAGATTTGTACAGCTGTTCTTATGAAGACTTTGCATTGACTTCCATTCATTGAGGACAGCCTAACCCTAACGTAACCACAATTCACACCCCACCCCTAACCTTACTAGGACCTCAGGGATCAAGTTTTGCCTCAGGCTTTGGTCCCCATAAAGTCCACTGGTGCTGACAAGGTCAGTATTAATGCTGGAAAAGGTCCTAAAGAGGCAACAACAATGAGCACACACACACACACACACACACACAAAAACAAAGTTTGACATCAAAACATTTTAAGCAAACACTTTTAACTTATAACTTGATTTCACACCTTCTCTATTTTCTTTGTTTGTTTGTGTACGTG